TGTGTATAGATACCACAATTTTTGGATCCATTCATCTGTGGTGGGGCATCTGGGTTGTTTCCATATCCTAGCTATTGTGAACAGTGCTGCAATAAACATGGAGGTGCATGTGTCCTTGTATATTGGTTCCTGTTGTTCAGAGTAGATGCCTAGAAGTGGTATGACTGGATCACAAGGGAGGGTCAATATTTAGCTTTCTAAGGACCCTCCAGACTGCTTTCCAAAGTGGTTGTATAAGTGTACATTCCCACCAGCAGTGTAATAGGGTTCCTCTTTCTCCGCATCTGCTCCAACATTTGTCATTGGTTGACTTGTGGATGTGAGACATTCTGACTGGGGTAAGGTGGTATCTCAGGGTGGTCTTTATTTGCATTTCCTTCACAACCAGGGATGGTGAACATTTCCTCATGTGTTTCTTTGCCATTTTTATCTCTTCATCTGAGAAGTCTCTCTTTAGTTCCCTTGCCCAGTTAGTAATTGGTTTGTTAGGTTTGGGAGGGATTAGTTTCTTGAGTTCCCTGTATATACTGGATATTAACCCCTTGTCTGATATATTGCTGGTAAATATTTTTTCCCAATTAGTTGGTTGTCTTTCTAGCTTAGTTGCGATAGCTTTAGCTGTGCAGAAGCTTTTTATTTTAAGGTAGTCCCATTTGTCGAGTCTCTCTCCAATTTGTTGTGCCTCTGGGACTCTGTTCAGGAAGTTCCTTCCTGTGCCTGTAAGTTCAAGTGTCTCTCCTACTCTGTCCTGCAGTAGTTTCAGAGATTCAGGTTTAATGTTAAGGTCTTTAATCCATTTTGAGTTGATGTTGGTGCATGGTGATAGGCTGGGGTCCACTTTTAGTTCCACAATTTATTTTAATATCACAGATGCAGTACATTGGATGCTAACAATTTGTCATGGGAATCAGGGAGAACAAAAGAGTGCTCTGAAAAAACTCACACCCTGTAACCCACTCACCAGAACCTCATGTGGAAGAAAACCACAAGTTAAGCTCTCTATCCAGCAGTTCCAGTCTAATGTTGAACTTCTCCATATGCCCTTCCATTTCCCATATGTTGTTACTCCCCCTCCCCCCAAGTCCCACCCTGCTCTAGATTAATTGACTTTATATAGCCAAGGCTGAAAATCCAGGCCCTAACATTTATTAGTTTTATGGCCTTAGGCCAGGCACCTTACCTGCCCATGCCTCAGTTTCCTCCTCTGTAATCTTTGTACCTTCCTTATTAAACACTCAGTCAATTGTAGCTCTTCTCATGTTTATGTTCTCTTAATAAATTCACAGACAGCCAACCAGCCCTGGATGAGCTTATCTCACTGGCCACTAAGAAACACAATATCTCATCAGAAATCTGTTCAAATGTCCATAAAACTGTCACCAAGAAGACCTCCCAAGAGCACAGCAGTAGAATTATAGCAATTAAAATGAGTCAGAAATTTCAAAGCCTAGAAAATTTTAGTTACTATATTATGTATGAACATACGGCTGGATGAATTTCTATAGCATTCCCTGGATATTTTTAAAGTTATTATACTGTGGGCTAAACCGATTGTAATATATTATGATTAATTTGTTTAATATTGTCTTTGGAATTGTAACAGTGAAGAATGAGTGATTGAATTTGGTTGACATCACTTCTGTTGGAAAAGCAAGCTTTAAATCATTTTGTCTGAGATGAGAACAAAGGAGCAGACACTGGGCATCTGGAAGCCCACTGACCAGTTGAGGGTCAGGTTAAAGTAAGGCGTGGGAAAAGGAGATGGACCAAGGGTCTGCAGCTTGGAGAGTTCCACAATCAGCCTAGGGGGAAGCCACAAGAATAGTTCCAGTTGTCTTCCTCTACTTGAGGAACCAGCATATGTACTTTGTTTAAAACCCACTTAAAGGGGCTAGGAAGGTGGCTTAGTGGTAGAGTGCTTGCCTTGCATGCATGAGGCCCTGGGTTCGATTCCTCAGCACCACATAAGCAGAAAAAGCCGGAAGTGGTGCTGTGGCTCAAATGATAGAGTACTAGCCTTGAGCTGAAGAGCTGAGGGACAGTGCTCAGGCCCAGAGTTCGGGCTCCATGACTGTCAAAAAAAAAGAAAGAAAAGAAAAACAACAACACTTAAATGAAAAGAAACTATTACTGCCAAGTCAGAGAGTGTGGCAAAAGTAACAATCTCTCCTGACTGACAGGTGATTTTTGGCATTATGATTCCTCCCAACAGTAACAGCCAGGAAGAAATGGCTAACATGTCCGGCAGAGATTGCTGATCTTGTGATTTTTTTCTTTTCTCTGCAAGGTGAGAGGAATTTTTCAGGTGTCATTCAGCATGGAAGTTATTATCTTCCTGCCAAAGCCAGATTATCTACCAAGACCTGCAACTGCCCCACATAAGAAGGCTGGCTCCCAGGGAGGAGGCAGCTGCCCCAGGCTATGTCCCAGACATCACTGGAGGTGCCTGAGCTTTCTTGCTGCCAGTCTTAGACAGAACTGGAGCAGCAAATTAGAAAAGGCAGCTCTTAGCACTGTAAAAATCCAGTAGACTCAAAAATTGAATCTGTGTTTAAGATTGGAGTTTTGAGCAATTGCACTGAGAGCCCCTGAGGAGTCTCTACAGTTAGACGGAAACAAGCAGAGGCTGTTTGGATCTGGACAATGATGGGAAAGGAAGGACAAGGGACATTCCAGAGGTCACAGAAAGGCCAGGCCCTGGACAATGAATAAGCAGCAGACTGAGGTGACACCACACCCAAGAAGCTTTTCGGTGACATGCTCCTGGGGAATGCCAGCACTCTTAGATTTCAAGAGTACTTAGCATGTTTGTACATGTTGGAGGAAGGGCGTGTATCCTCAGATCCAACCAGGTCCAATGGTTGGCAGTAGCTGCCTGAAGCAGTGGTTGATAAGGGTTTGAAGTCTGAATCTATACTCATAATTGGATGTAGAATGGAAGCACACCCAGGATTTCTTTAGTGAGTGAGTGATGGATATTTTTGCTTCTATCATCATCTTCAGTGAATATATGTGCAGTCATTCTCAGAATCTTATTGTTTATAAATCCATGGCAACATTGAAGTGTTGTTCAAGATTGTTATGACATAGATAGATTCTTGAAAGCAAAGATTTCTAACACAAGTGCATAAAAATGCCAGGACTGCTATGATTTGTTAGCTCACACCTGTAATCCTAGTCACTGAGGAATTTGAGATCTGGAGGATCATAAAGTCAGCCTAGAAATAAAAATCCACAAGAATCTATCTAAAACAAACAAAACAAAAAGCTAGACTGGAGGCTGGCCCAAGTGGTTGAGCCCCAGTCAAGCAAGTAAGTTTGGCAAGCTTGAGGTCCTCAGTTCAAATCTTGGTACTGGAAAAAAAAGCCAGGACTATGAAAATGTAGGTAGTTACATCCTTTACAATGGAAGCCAAACTAGGACAGGACATTTTCTGACTCTGTCACAATGTTGGAAAAGAAATTCACTGTATGGCACACACACACACACCCCCAAAGAGAACCAGATGACCCACACCACACAAAGCAGGACTTACAACAAGCAGTCTGAAACCCAGAAGAAACTGAATAGCCACCTTCCTGGAAGCCCAGTCCTCAGCTCCATCTCTTTTGGACTCACAACCTTCTTTAACATCCAAGAAATGTTGGACTCCTCATTTGGACAGGAAATGAGTCCCTTCAGTATAAGATTGAGAAAGAAGAGAAGCTGTCCACCAATGTGGGATAACAGGGCACAACACTGCAACAATGCCGGCAGCCACGGTTCTGGTCCCTCCCATAACAGCCACAAGGCTTTGTGGTGTCCAGGCTAATAATCAAATGCCTGATTATCATCCTCATTACCTGAGTTGGACCTAGTTTAAGAACCCACACATTCATTCTGTTTATCTGATACATGAAATACAAGTCAGGTGTGGGAGACTAAGGCAGGAAGATCCTTTGAGTTCAGAAGTTCAAGCCCAGCTTCAACAAAACAATGAGAAGCAAGCCAAAAAAGAACAACAAACAACAAAGCAACATAGCCACAGTCAGGCTAGTCTACATGGGCATAGGCCTTGTGCTCAGCAAATTCCTGTGTGCTGCTATTAATTATCCCAACATTGCAATGATTTGAAACACACACTGTGTGCTGGACACTGTGCCTGGCACTGCACAAACATTTATTTAGTGATCACAACAGCCTGATAGTATGCATATGTAAGGTTTCATAATAAGCCTCCAGGTGCCAGTGGGTCACACTTGTAATCCTAGCTACTTGGGAGGCAGAGATATTAGGATCAAGGTTCAAAGCCAGCGGCAGCAAAAAAGTCTGTGAAAATCTTATTTCTAATTAACCATCGAAATGTTGGAAGTGGAGTTGTGACTCAAGTGCTAAAGCGCCAGAGCTTTAAGCAAAAAAGCTAAAGGAGAATGGGAGGCCCAGAGTTCAAGCCCCAGTATCTGCACAAAATATAATATAATATAATATAACATAATATAACATAATATCACTTGCCTCTTTCCATTTGAGAGAAGGCTGTGGAAGAAGATCCAGGTCCACATTACCAGACAGAAGATGAGGTTTCTACAAACATACTCTAAATTGCTGACAATAGGCATGCTCAACAATAGGCATGCTCAGTAAGTTTTTAAAGACCTGAGACTCATCTTCTGCTTTGACGATTATGTCCAGCATTTTCTTCCTTGACACACCTATTCCCAGAGAATAGGAATAGTATGGGGGTATGCAAATGTCCCCATATACATGCAACTTTTTATGCATTCCAAAGCAGTGCCCAAATGCTAGGCTTACACATATGCTCTCTATGTACTTCAGGGCTGAGGGAGGATTGTGCTAGTAAGTCCATTTATTCATACATTTATCTGGACACAAAACCTGGATCCCATTACTTCTCAATGGTAGAGCATAACACCTGACAAGGCAGACAGAAGCAAACTCAAAATGAATTAATCAGGAAGCAGTATATATACTATGCAAGGAACAAATTTAAGAATAGTACCTTTCTATGAAAGCCACTCTTAAGTCTGGATTCATTGATGAAGGAGTACTGTGCCCCCCAACCAACTTCACCAACATACTCGTGTTTGTATTTTGGTGGCAAGCTTCCGTGAGAGGCTGCCCTCCATAAGTATCTGAGATCTCCCGTCTTTTCTAAGGTTGGCTGCTTTTCTCCTATGTAGGAGGTATGTTGATGAACTTTGGGCAAATGATCCTTTATGTAATCTGGACCTTAAAGAGACAAAAAGAAAAACACACTTCAAAAAATTCTCCATGTTTTATTCTACAATTCTTGTATTTTAGTTGTGAAAATAGTAAGTCCATGTTTTATGAGACAATTACTGTGTTCCTATAAGTAGGGCATTCAGACATGTTAGTCAAAATAACCCTCACTAATAACCAAAGGTGTCAGATTTAGTTTCCCTCTTTCAAGATAAGAGAAAATGTAGCATACATAGGCTTGTTCAGGTTGGGCTCCAGGGGCTTATGTTTGTAATCCTGGCCACTCAGAAGGCTGAAATCTGAGGATGGAGGTTTGAAGCCAGTCCAAGAAGATAAGTCTGAAACTCTTATCTCCAACCAAATAGCAAAAAGGCAGAAACAGAGTATTGACCAAGGGTAGACTGTCAGCTTTCAGCAAAAAAGCTAAGGAAAAGCATTTAGGCACTGAGTTCAAGCAGTACCAGCACGCACACACACACACACACACACACACACACACACACACACATCTATCCAGAGTTACATGTAACAAGCTCTTTCACACCCAAAAAGCTGCCTTGAAGGTTAAACTTGATGGCCACTAAATTTCTCTAACATTTCCCAAACAAACGAGGTTAGAGTATTTTATCCAGAGAAAATGTGAAATGAGAATTAGAGTGTTCCCCAAAGGGATTATAAGCAATTGGAAAACTGAGACAAGTACTGGATAAGAACATTTATCACATGCTGACCAGAGGCAGGGGTATTTAATTTGGTATTTCAAAATATAAAACAATGAACATAACCAATCAGTGACATGTAGAAATGGGTAAAGCAAGCAAACCTCAGAGGTCTGGGCAAAGAGCTTGTAATAAGCTTGGTATTTAAAGTTGATGGTTTGTAAGTGCTATATTGAGCTAAGTATTTTGGAAAGGATGGTACTGATTACAAATGGATGCACTAACAAGTGGAACTTCAAAAGCCCTGGAACCAGCATGTAGGATTATGTGTGTTGACTAGGAACACAAAGAAAGTACTCCATTCCTCTTTGTGCTCTAAAAGTGGAGTGAAGACCATGGAGGTAGTTGCTGTGGCTCCTTTCATTTTGGAGCCCAATATGTGCAGAATAAGAGGTGGGCAGCAGAGTATGAGGTGGGACCAGGTACTCACCTGAGCACTCTTGCAGGACTTGCTCTGGCAGGTGTCTTTATGGCTTGCTAATCACCATCACTCCCCATGATACAGTGGGCTGAATACTTACTTTCAACCTAATTTCCCTGATGAAACAGGACATGTGGCTTCAGTTCTATGTGCTTCAGGTTTTCACTCAGCTATAACTACTCTGGGGATTGTCGGAGCTTGAGAAACTGTTCTCTCCTCATCTGACAGATGTGGAGGTCTTGCCTATACAACTTCTGCATGGGACACTGCTTGCAACTTTGCCTTTTAGCTATTCAGGTCAAACTATTTATAATTATATAATCCAGAGTTGTTCAATGTAGTTTTCTCCAGTAGATCATTTACATGCATTTCACAAACATCAAAAAATTGAGGGAAGTAATGGCCTAATAATGTTTCAATTATTGTTAAAATGTCACCACTACACACCACTATGAATGTGAGTGCAGAAGAAGAGCCGTAGCTAGCTCCTTTGTGGATCATTTTGTTCTACAAGATATTGTTCTAAGTCGGGTGCCGGTGGTTCACGCCTGTAATCCTAGCTACTCAGAAGGCTGAGATCTGAGGATCAAGGTTCAAAGCCAGCCAGGGCAGGAAAGTCTGTGAAACTCTTATCTCCAATAAACCACTAGAAAACTGGAAGTGGTGCTATAGCTCAAGTGGTAGAGCACTCACCTTGAGCTGAAGAGCTGAGGGACAGCACCCAGGCCCAGAATTCAAGCCCCACGACCACCAAAAAAAAAAAAAAAAAAAGATTTGTTCTACAAGAGCTGTGACTCACTAGTTGTCTTACTCTATTCATGCTGCTATAACCAAATACCTAAAACCTTGTCTGGGAAGGTGGCTCAGTGGTAGAGGGTTTGCCTTGCATGCATAAGGCCCAGCGTTTGATTCCTCAGTGCCACATAAGCGGAAAAAGCCAGAAGTGGTGCTATGGCTCAAGTGGTAGAGCACTAGCCTTGAGCTGAAGAGCTGAGGAACAGTGCCCAGGCCCAGAGTTCAAGCCCCATGAATGACAAAAAACAAAAACAAAAACAAAAAAAAAACCTAAGACTTGACAACTGATAGAGAGCAGAAATGTTTTCACTCACAATTTGGGGTCTGGGTAGTCTTCGATGGAGGGGTCAAGCTATGTGGCTGGTGAGGGCTGCTCTGTCTTCACAATGGTGCCTGATGGCTGTGTTCTCCTCCCCAGTCCTCACACAGCAGGAGCCAAGGGAAACCCTGAGGGCTTTCATCCTATATGGGAGGAAGAGGCCTCTGTGGCCTAATCACCTCATAAAGGCCCCAGCAATTAATAGGATCACACTGCCCATTGATTTTAACATCTGGATTTAGAAGAGACTCATTCAGCATGGCAGAAAGGCTAGCTGTGAACAAGGAAGCTGAATAAGAGTGTGAGGCTCTGAGTTCAAGTCCCAGTACTAGAACAATTAAAAAAGAAAATGAACGAGAGTCATAAGGGCTGGGAGTGGCTCAATTGGAAGAACCCCTTCTTGGCAAGTATGAGGCTGTGAGTTCAAACCTCAGTACTACCAAAAAAAGGAAAAAAGGAGAAAATTCCACTTGTAAATTGAAAATTATAAAATTCCATTAGTCTGATTTCTTTGTTGTCTTGTTTATTTATTTATTTTAATTTGCTTATTCTTTTACCCACTTAAGTACTCAAAAAATAATTATGAATGGCCACTACATGTTGCAGGAATACAGCACTGAACAAACAAAGGCCTTCTTTTCCTGAGGAATTATAAACTGGAAGGCAGGCAGAAGTAAACCATCCTTTATTATCTTTCATCTGGATAAGCAGAATGCCTCCTAACTATTCTCAGCAACAACTGCTCTTTTTTTTAATTCATCTTTTCTCCAACCACCAGGAGAGATATAAAACTCAGATAAAATCAAATACCTTCTTTCCTAAAAATCCTGAAATGGGTTGCTGCAGTGGATGATAGTTGTGTTTATCCAGTTCTCTCAAGATTGCAGTGTCTTCATAATCCAACTCTAATTCCTCCCTTAAATTTTTTCTTTCATTATTTAAGCAGTGTTGGTGACTCAGCTACTTGGGAGACTGAGATCTGAGGATTCCAGTTTAATATCAGCTGAACATAAAAGTCTGTGAAACTCATCTCCAGTTAACCAGCAAAAAGCTGGAAGTGTAGATATGGCTCAAGTGCTAGAGTACCATCCTTGAGCAAAAAAAGCCAAGCAAGAACATGAGGCCCTGCCCAAGCCTTAGTATTGACACCAAAAAAATATAAAATAAATCTTTTTAATATATAATTTTATTGTAAAGATACTGTAAAGGGATTACAGTTACATGAGAAAGGTAATGAGTCCATTTCCTATCAAGCATAAAATAAATCGTATAGGGTTTATTGTAAATGCTTCTGCTATAGTTTGATTGTGTGTGTGTGTGTGTGTGTGTGTGTGTGTGTGTGTGTGTGTGTGTGTGTGTTGTGTATGGTATAGTCCTGGGGCTTGAACTCAGGACCTGGGCACTGTCCCTGAGCTTCTTTTGTGCTCAGAGCTAGTGCTCTACCTCTTGAACCACAGCTCCAGTTCCAGCTCTTTTTTTTTGGTAGTTCAGGGGAGAAAAGAGTCTCCCAGACTTTTCTGCCCAGACTGGCTTTGAAACTTGATCCTCAGATCTCAGCCTCCTAAGTAGCCAGGATTACAGATGTGAGCCACCAGCATCTGGCTTAGTTTTATCTTAAATATCTCCACAGATTATGTGTGGAGGCTTGATCTCCATCCCATGGTACTATCAGGAGGTACTGGGAAAGTGGCTCAGTGGTAGAGTGCTTGCCTTGCATGCATGAGACCACATAAGCAGAAAAAGCTGGAAGTGGCGCTGTGGCTCAAAGTGGTAGAGTGCTAGCGTTGAGCTGAAGAGCTGAGGGACAGTGCCCAGGCCCAGAGTTCAGGCCCCACAACCGGCAAAAAAAAAAAAAAAGAGGTGGGGCCTAGTGGCAGGAAATTAGGTTGTGGGGACATAACCTTAAAGATATGGGAGCACTAACCCATTTCTGTCTCTCTTTGTTTTCTGGACAGCATGAGGTGATTACCCTGTTCTGCACTTGTTCCTACCTTGACATCCTTTGCCCCCATGTGTACAAGTATACAGTCAACTAATCAAGAACCAGCACCTCTGAAACTGTGAGCAAAGGAAAATTTTTGTGTTTTGTTTTTTACCCCTCAAGACTGGGTTTTGCTAAGTAACCCAGCTGGTCTGTAATTTTCCATTCTAACTCCCCAAATGTTGGTAACTTTCTCCTCTTTAAGTTGGTTTATTTCCCATCTTCATTATAGCAATAATATAGCTTTCATTTCTGTAAAAGATCCCTAGTCTCCTATTGGCAAAATTAGGCACTCTATTTTCATTTTTCAATCTCTAGAGTGTAGAAGGGTATATATTATTGTTCTCTGTTCTTCTGAAGAGCAGTGGTTCTCTCTTGTTTTTCTCTATAGGGAACACTAATTTGAATGGCAGGATCCTCATCTTAACCATTTACATTTGACTGGGATTTGAAATCGGTACTTTGCACTTGCCAGGCAAATGCTCGAGCTCCATCTCTAGCCCTCGAATCCTCATCTGGAAAACTCAAGACCAAAAGGAATTTTAAAAAGAGCTGTCAGCAGCCAATAAACCACCAGAAAACCAGAAGTAGCATTGTGGCTCAAGTGGTAGAGCACCAACCTTGAGCTGAAGAGCTGAGGGAGAGTTCAAGCCCCACAACTAAACATACCAAACCAAACCAAACCAAACAAAACTGTCAGCTAGGCACTGGTGGCTCAAGCCTGTAATCCTAGCTACTCAGGAGGCTAAGATCTGAGGATCATGGTGCAAAGCCATCCCAGGCAGGAAAGTCCGTGACACTCATATCTCCAATCAACCACTAGAAAACCAGAAGTAGGGCTGTGTCTCAAAGTGTTACAGTGCCAGTGCTAACCTTGAGCAAAAACACTAAGGGACAGTATCCAGGCCCTGAGTTTAAGCCCCACATTTTTTTAATATATATTTTTATTGTAAAGATATTGTACATAGGGGTTACAGTTACATGAGTAAGGTAATAAGTACATTTCCTATCAAACAGTTACCCCTTCCTTTGTTTTTCCCCTACCATCCTTTTTCTCCTTACCTCCCCAAATCTTCCCTCCCCCCACCTAATTGTAAAGTTTGTTTTCAACATAGTGTCTTGTACATCTCATTGTTACAATGGGTCAACCTGTATCCTTATTTCAGCATATTGTTATTTCCCTTCCCCTCCCCAAATTAGAAAAATGTATATGCGAGATGCAAGACACCGGAATCAAAAGGGGTTATACAATGGGGGTAGACATACAAAAGAAAAAAATCAGATAGTACATTATAAGTACATTAAAAACAACAGCAAGAAAGATAAAACCTCTGTCTCTATCTTGGGGTTCATTTTGCTTAGCATCATCTTATATGATCACATGTATATAGCTTTTGAACTTTTCTGCTTGTCCTAGGCATATACTAGTTATTACAAATTAGGGAAACCATGGGACCTATGTTTCTTTGGGCCTGGATTACTTCACTTAAAATAGATTTTTTCCAAGTCTTTCCATTTCCTAACCAATGGAAGCCCCATGATTGACAAAACAAAAACAAAAACCTGTCAACCTAGAATTCTCTGCTGTTCTTTGGAAACATAAGGAAAATAAAAACATATTCAGACAAAACCCCCACTAAAACTAAAAGTATTCATCACCTCTCAGATACAGCCTTAAAGATAGTTTTTTTAAAAATCCTGAAATAGCCAGTGGTTCACATCTGAGATCCTGCTATTCAGGAGGCTGAGATCTGAGGATCATGGTTCAGAGCCAGCCAGCAGAAAAGTCTATGAGACTCTTATCTCCCATTAAATCCCAAGAAGCTGGAAGTAGAACTATGGCGCAAGTGGTAGAGTACCAGCCTTGAACAAAAAAGCTAAGGGAAAGCACCCATGACCTGAGTTCAAGCCCTAGTACCAGCATACACCAGCATACATCACACACACACACACACACACACACACACACACACACACACACACACACACACACACAAATAGAAAGGAAATGTTAAAAGAATAAAATCTTGTGTCAGCAAGGAGCACATTTGCTTTACTAGAAATTGAGACAAGTTGAAGCTCATAGTAATATGACTCTTTCTATAATATTGCCTCTATGACACCAGTCCACTACTTCCAAATATTAATATGATACATACCAATACAGTAAACAGTAAGGAATTCAGTGAAGATGGAAGGGATTATTCTAATGAACATATTTGACATTTTGGTGACAGCATGAACATAATTTGGCCCCGCAAATGTGTGGCTCACAGTGGCTGAGCTTGTTGAGGAACCCAGCCAAAGCCAGGATCAAAGGGAAGGTGGGAGTGGGAAATGCATAATCAACTCTAATGGGTACATTGGACACATGCATGTAGCAAGAAGAGAAGACAATGTTAGAAATTAATAATTACAAGTAATGTGAATAAGGCTTTCCAGTTCTGACAGCTATCACAAAATGGACTCAGGGACTGGAACAATTCTTAATGCTGCATTTCAGTTATTGCAATTATGCAATTGTCCAGCCATTGGCAGAACTGAACCCCAGCTCAGCTTGGGTTATTGCTGAGTGAGAATGCTATGGAGAAGTATCTTTGCTGTGAACATTATTTCCTCAAATGATGATCTTCCTGCTGGGCATTCTGAAAACCTTAGAGGTGACAGGTACTGACCAAATTGCTTCAAATAGCCTCACAAGATTATCAGGTCAATATATGTGGATAGGATAATTAAACATAGAACTACAGATCAAAATTCAGAGTTATAAAGCATTCAAGAATCCATTTCCTGGGCTAGGAAGGTGGCTCAGTGGTAGAGTGCTTGCCTTGCATGCATGAGGCCCTGGGTTCAATTCCTCAGCACCACATAAGCAAAAAGAAAAAAGCTGGAAGTGGCGCTGTGTCTCAAGTGGTAGAGTGCTAGCCTTGAGCTGAAGAGCTGAGGGACAGCGCCCAGGCCCAGAGTTCAGGCCCCACGACCGGACCCAAAAAAAATAAAAAAAAAAGAATCCATTTCCCACTTAAGTATAGTTCAAGCAATGATTCACACAATATGACATGCACTGCACCCTGGGTTGTGACTTGACCTGGGCTTTCCAGTTTCCGATACGGTTTGAAAAAGATCACACTCATCTCCTTTAGGGTACATTTCACTGAGACGTATGTGTGTGTGTGTGGTTGTGTGTGTGTGTGTGTGTGTGTGTGTGTGTGTGAGAGAGAGAGAGAGAGAGAGAGAGAGAGAGAATGTGTGTGTGTGTGTGTGTGTGTGTGTGTGTGTGTGAGATGGTCCTGGGGCTTGATCTCAAGGCCTGGGCATTGTCTCTGAGCTTTTTTGCTCAAGGCTAGCACTCTATCCCAACTCAAGCCACAGCTCCACTTCTGCCCTTTTTGAGGTATTTAATTGGAGGTTCAAGACTTACAGACTTTCCTGCCCATGCTGATTTCAAACTGCAATCCTCAGATCTCCCGAGTAGTTAGGATTACAGATGTGAGCCATCAGCACCTGACTTAACTGATAGTTTCTTATACAGTATGACCCATGTTTTGTGTACAAGCTATTGTTATATTTGTCTCACGAGTGTGTGTCTTGTCTCTCTGCCAGCCCTTGGTAGTGGCATTAGGGCTTTACGCTGTCTCCTATTTGCCTTTTAATGTCAATAGCACTTTGGACAGAACAATATATTAAGCAAAATCTTGACAATGTTTGTGGAAAGAATGGGTTCTATTTATTTGTTATTTCTTTGTATAGGTCTTGATGCTTGAACTCAGGATCTGAGCACCATCCCTGCACTTTTTTTTTGGATAAGACTAGCACTCCACCACTTGAGCCACGGTTCCACTTCCAGCATTTTAGTGGTTAATTAGAAGAGTCTCATGGACTTTTCCCCTCTGGACTGACTTTGAAACATGATCCTCAGATCTCAGCTTCCTGAGTAACTAAGATAACAGGTGTGAATCAGCAGTACCCAGCTGAATGGCTACTTTATATCATTAAAGTTGCTGGTATAATTTTTAAAAATACATATAGAGAAAGAAGGTAGGGTAAAAATGTTCTAAATCTCACTGGACTTCTACTTGGAAAAGAAAGATTCATCTCGACAAAACATTGCAACCAAATGATTCTATGCATAACTTTTGTCACTGGAAAGAGATATAGATAAGAAATGGACCATGTTCTAATTTACTCTACTTAGAATTTTTCTAGAATAAATATGCATTATTTGATCAGTGTTGTCATGAGACATCTTAGCATTATTATGGATAGGCTCTCAACATGGCATTTAAAAGAAAAAATACTTAAACCAGGGTAGTAGAACAAACCTGTAATCCCAGCTACTTGGAAAGCAGAGATGGGAGGATGTCTATATGAAGCCAGGGTATTGAGACCTTATTTCAACAAACAAGCTGATTATGATGGTATATGCCTGAAATCCTAGCTACATGGGAGACAGAGGTAGGAGGATCATGGTCTTTTGCCTTAGGAAAAAGTGCAAGATCCTATCTGGAAAATGAGTAACACACAAAAGGCTAGGGATGTGACTCAAATGGTAGAGTATCTGCCTAGCAAGCATGATGTTCTGACTGAAACCTCAGTATTCAACCACACACATGCACACACACACACACACACACACACACACACACACACACACACACAGAGGTATTAGCAAGATCTATATGTGTAGAACTAATAAAAACTCCATTGGTGCTGGGCAATGGAGGCTCACTCCTGTAATTCTAACTGTGCAGGAGGCAGAGATCTGAGACCGGCCCAAGTAGGAAAGTTGTGAGACTGGTATCACCAATCAATCACCAAAAAGCCTGAAATGGAGCTGTGGCTCAAGTGATAGAGCACCAGCTCTGAGCAGAAAAAAAAAAAACAAGCAAAAAGCAATGCCCTTAGTTTAAGCCCCAGTAATAGCATGCAAAAAACACAAATAGCAGCCACAAAACAACAAAAATATATTGCTGTGCTGGAAGTAAAAGGAAATCCATTGCAAAATGGATTAAATAATAAAAGAAAATTATG